GGTCTGAGCCACGGCAGCATTTTTATTTCAGATTTTGATAACTGTTTGTATGTGTTAAAAACCAAAATGACATCTTTTTAAAGCTTGTCCATAAAAACATAGATGTCTTTTATAGTGGAAAAACATGTGGGGGGAAAAATCATCTATTTTGATGCAGCATTTGATAATGATAAAACGCCTCACTCTTTATAGTGCACAAAGTGAATGAGGTCTGAGCTAGGTAGGAAAAGGTCAATGCTGTTTTTGTCTTCTTTTAGAATCATTACCAGCTTTTATCCATCTGATATCTATAGTAGACACACTATCCTAGTTAACATAGTTAAGTTCTGGACTTGTCTCATTTTAATGTAAAGATTTGCTTCCGTTTTCCTACAGGCAGACTCTCTCCTTCCTCACAGTCCCACTGTGCAGGTGCTATTGTTGCTCTTATCAATATTTTCAGAAATGTTATTTTAAGTGAAATTCCTAGCCTGCACTTTGATGTCGTGTGTTCCCTTTGTCCTTCAAATTCCCAAGTTTTCTCCCTGGCCTCGCCTCTCCCTTACCCCAGGAAACCTTCTTGGAGACCTCCTTACCCCTTTGACTTTAAAGGCTCTTTGAACTTTGTATACTTTAAATAATTTAACTACCCATAATTACTTTTAAAAAAGCTTTATGATTTTCATAACTTATTGCTGATTTTAATGGGTTGTTAATTTCAGTCCTGTAGTTTTATTTTGTTTAGATAGGGCTGGGCAAGGAAAAATAAAGACAACCATATTTAGCAGTGCAGTTGAGTTGTGTGTGTAATAATTAGACTATCCTTTGTAAGTAGCACTTTAACAGCTTTCACTGCTTCTATGTATGAAGTGTACCATCTTGGTCATACACAAGGCCTCAGCATATACTTACTTGTTCTTGTGCTCTTCCTGTGCCTCAAAAGTATTTTATCCTTGATTGTGCTGTTTAAGTGGAAGAAATTCTTTGAAGTAGATGTGTGAAAAACTGCATGCCTTTAGAAGCCCATTATTAGAACTTGCTACTTCAGGTGCTGGGGACTCAAGGAAAAATATAAATTCATTTCTGTGGCCCAGGTAAATTATTTCTGGTTTCATTTTAAATTCCTCTTGGCTGGGTCAAAATGTTGCTCTTATGTTGCTTACTTTTGACTTTCCCGAGTAAGACAGTTTGAAGACTCTGCTAACTACCATGGAAAGTAAATGGAAGCCAATGACTAAGCTGCCATTTTTACTCCCATGGCATTCACTTGCATCACTTGCCTAGGGCTGGAATTTGGGACGATTCATTCAGGTGAACTTGAGGTGCTGCCATTTTGTTGTATGTGTATTGAATGGTGGGCTGAGAAGACTTTGTCACGAACCTAGAGTACCTATTTCAACTGCCCCCTAAATTACTCCTTCCCTGGGTTTGTTTTACTGGGGGAGGGAGGTGGGTTGTATGATGAGTAAGAAGTATTACTTTTTTAAAAGACAAATCGACTTTGAAGATACAAAAGTTAATTGCAAGAAATAAAAATTGTGAATGAATAATACCGAGTGCTTTTTGTACCACCCTTCTCTATGAAGGAAAAATATATAAATGAGCATCTACACCTTGAGGCAACTGTCACCTAAATGTTTGTTGATACTACTTCAGTAGTCCAGAATTAATGGCAATTTGAATCATTGCCGTTTCCTATAATTCTTGACTGATAATTCCACATAACCTAATTGCAGATAGTTTATTGTATGTGATATTTAACTGCTTCAGGTAGGACACAAAGCCATGTCATGCATAGCTGTTCTCCAAATAACTTTTTAAGGAATCCCTTTGGCTACACTTATAATTCACATTGAAACCAAGTCTGGAAGCTCACCTGAGAAGGTACCCTGTATGGAAAAGCCTGAGTGATGGTGCAGGTAAATTTTATTTCAGTGCATATTACCAAAGAAGATTGTGATGATGTCATTGTTTCTCTAGTTTCTGATTAGAATAGGTATAACTCCTCTGGTGACAATGACAGCTTTTAGTATTATAAAGGAATTTTAAAAGTGAGGATTATTGAGGCAAAACTCCTAACCTAAGGCCACACTGCTTCCTGGGTCATTTCTCATGAGAAAATTGTTTAGTCCTTGGGAAAAGTTTTTTGGTGAGTTTCTCTTCTGCTTAAAGCAACAAGCTGCCTTTTTCCCTTTCTTTTTTTAACTTCCACCTAAAAATTTCCATACTCCCTATCAAAAACAGCATCATGTGGTAAGAAAAAGGGTTTTGGTCACTTTAAATCCCAGTTCTAGTATTTGCTAAGGCCCCTGGGCAAGTTGCTTAATTTCTTCATAGGGACTATTTCCTCCTAAAAAGTTGTGATAAATACCCGTCTCAAAAGGTTGTAAGGATTAATACTGACATATGTAAATTATACCACCCCCTCAATCTAGGAGTTTGTAGCACCAAAAGGAAACTAAGGTATGTAACTTCTCTACTTTCTCTGATGAATGCAATCTTCTAATCACTTCATCCTTAATCTTGAATATTAGTTATTCTGACTAGGTCTTTCTATTAAATGAAATAGTTCATTTTCACAAAATTACATAGGTTATACTTTGTAAGACGTCAATTTTTATGTCCTAAGAATTTTTTAAAAATAAAGCCTTTACAAGATTGATGGATCATTGGTTTTAGTAATTATCTGGATCTAAAAAAAGGGTGGCGGGCATGACTACCCTGAGCTTGAGAGTACTATACACTGATAGTCGCTACTGCATAATTGAACATCCTAGTTAACATTTAGTGTTGGCTTTGCCAAGGGGGGAAAAAAAATTCTTCCTGGCCCGTTTATTAGATCTAACAGAAAACTAGTTTTCTTGTGGAATACATCTGATCCTTTTAATTAATCAGTATAGTTCAAAATATATGTACTGGCTGGCCATTTCTTGGTTAACTTCTATAGAATCATAAATTAGGAGACATGGCTTAAATGAAGCTCTTTTCAAGTACTGCCAGCTAACTTTCTAAAATTTTGGAATTTTCCCCATTTCCTCAAGCTCTTTGCTATGGAGGAATGCTTAATAGGGCAGTACATGGGGCATTTAGCTAGATTTTCAAACCAAGCACAGAACAGCATTATAAAAACATAAAAGCCATAAAAAAATACAAATTTAAGGAGTCAGTTTCTTCTCAATTAGCTTCATCAACACTCTGAAAGCTAGAATCAACTAAGTCTAACAATACTTTTGGAGGGAAAAACTGGGCAAAGGAACCAAAGGGATACTTACTCCTTCCTGCATACTTCTGAGCAATGAACACCTGGACAATTACCATCTATTAAAGACTAGCCTAGCTGCAGACCTCAGGATTCAAAATCTTAGTTTTCCAAGGACTTAAAAGTCAAGCGCTTCCTCCAAGCCTGAATTGTTTCTCTGGTCAGAAATTCACTGCATCTTGCTAAAGTGAGTAGTACAGGGCTTGAAAGGGGGAAAAACAAAACAAAAGCACATCAGTTTCACCAAGAAAGGGAAATCATGAGCCAGCAAAATCACAACCATGACTTTTGGCCTCAAGTTGAAAAGGTAGCTCTTCAAACAGAAAGCAAACCTTTTCTCATAATGAGTATAACCATGGCTTCTTTAGCTGTGCTCTTAAAAAAGACTGAGGATACAAATTATAATTTTAATTCCAGTAACCTAAGTCTGTACTGGTTTCATAAAAATGAACTGGTGAGGTGCTTGGTGGAAGTAAACTACCAGTTTTTATTTCTGGGAACTGAAAGAGAATTTAAGTATCCATAATTTGATATTTTTAGCTAGTTCAGCTGTCAACTACCACAAGCCATGTTCGTCTCAGATCTGCTTTACCTCAAGGCCATAATAGAACCACCTCTATGTACATAAGCTGAAAGGCAAGAGGAGGCAATCAAAGAACTTCACAGAAATCTAATATCTTCCATCTTATGTTTTCTTTTGCTATTTATTTTTAGCCAGGCCAAAACAAATTCTTAGAATGTCAATACTGGTTTCTGAACCTCTTAAGAGCATATCTATACAGATATGCTTGTTAAATATCATAATGTAAGGGGATTCAATTACTTGGGTTTTTGTTTGTTTAAACTACGGTATTACCTGTTATTTTGCCTGCTATGCTCTTCCTTTCCACTGCAGTAAAAATTCAGTGTTTAGCTTGCAACTCAAAAATCCTAGATACAAAGAATGTTCATATTTACTTGTAAATTACCATTTATAGTAATTGGTTGCTTCATAGTATAATACAAATACTTAATACAATTCAACAGGTATTTATAGAACTCTAAAGATTTTAAAATATAAACCTTGTTGGTTTTAATAATTTTATATTTCAGTTAATATCAAAGTTAAGGCAAAGTCAAATCAAAGCTTTAAAAATATTTTTTGCCTGAATTTGCAAGTGGTTTTGTCTCTTTTAAGAATTACAATCTACAGACACACAATTTACAAAACTATGGTTTTTCCTTTGTTATTTGGTTTTCCTTTGCTACATTAAAGGCAGGCTCACTCAGCATTAGAACTGCATTGTAGTGGAAACATACACATGGCACCCTTTTGTGAAAAACAAGCATTTTTTTAAAAATGAGTTATTACAATAGATGGATGCATTTCATTTTAGTTTGATGCCTAGTCTTCATAATTGGGCTAAGAAAACTACCACTTATTAATGTAATTTTTCCTTCATTTCAAAAACTGCTTTTATACAGGGTGGACAAATTCGTATGGTAAAAGACATGCAAGTTATGATTGTTACAATAGCTTTAACTCAAAAGAATGTCACAATGGCATAGTAAACCTACTTTTGTGCACCCTTGTATTTACCCAAAAACATGGTTCTCAGCCAGAGATGTGCATCAGAATCACCTGTGGAGTGACAGCTATATCTTGGCTTAGATGATTCTGAGGTAGGATCCAGGAATTCCTCTTTAATTTTAAACAAGCATTAGGGATGATTTTATTATAACCTGTATCCCCTTCCCATCAAGAAACATGCCTAAGACATTCTAATATAAAAATCTTAACCTTTACTCGGGTGTACTACTTATAAAGTTTGATAACATTTCAGTAGCATGTTTATAATTAGGGGCCAAATTGTAAACAATGGGCATTATTATACATTTTGATATGAATTATTGTTCAAAGGAAAAAAGATCAGGGGCTGGGGGTGGTCAGGGAGAGGTCAATGGGGGGAAAGGGAGATATATGTAACACTTTAAACAATAAAGAATTTAAGAAAAAAAGGAAGAAAGATCAGATATTCACCATTACCACTCTGCACAGTAATAGCTAACACTTCTATAGTGCTTACCACATGCCAGATACTCCACTAAGCACTTTACACATATTAACTCGTTCATCCTTACAATTTATTGAAACAAATTATTCTACAGCTGAAAACTGAATCAAAGAGGAGTTATACACACAGGTAATAAATAAGGAAGCCAGGATTCAAACAGCAGTCTGATTCAAGTCCTTGCTCTTCTAATATGGTCTTTCTACATATTAATTTAAAAAGCATGTTATCTGTGATTAATGCTACAATCTTAAAGTTTACATATTTTGGGAACGTTAGGACTGGTCTTGAAGAATTCTTCAACTGTTCAATAACAACAAAGTCAAATGTCAAATTCTGAAAAGATGTATGCAACCATAGCTATTTGGGAACCCTAAATGACTGACAGCACGATCTGTTAGTTACTGAGCTTGTCAAGCCTTTCTTGATGGGAAATTACATTAAGCTTCATAAGACCAAGTGTTATATTTGGTTTCAGAATATTGAGAGCTTAACCACCATCATTTGTAAAAAGGTATTGGTATTATGAGGTGCTACCCATTAAGCATCTTCTCGGCTTTAACATGACACAAGACAGATACTCTCTCCAGGCGTCTTAACTTTTCGTTTAATCCAAAGACACTATCATCATCCTGGTATCTCGGACTTTTCAGAGCCACATCTAGGTCTTTTGACACAAGGGTTCCTGATCTCATGCTACATATGCCTATTTTAAAAAATATATTTTATAGAATATGGTCACCTTTACTCTTTTCTCCTCCTACTGCAAAGCCCTCCAGAAAAATTAATGTACAGAAAGGAAGGCCCATAGGGTCAATCAAACAAAGCACAAGTCTCAACACAAGTCTTGCCTACACAACACCAGGTGAGTGATAAACATACCAAGGTAATCTCACCAAAAACCATTTGGTGTGGCCACTCAATTATACCAAATGTCTGTCCTGTGGTTTTTCATTAAAAGGGTACAATTGCAATCCTTCAAGGATACTGTTGATTAGTATGTTACAATTAATAACGAGAGCATTAGTATATTTTATTTATAAGTTTTTCAAGCTATGTGGCCCTTTTTCTACTGTAATTTGTACCTTGTATGTAAAAAACGTTTCACCTTTTTTTCTATCATATGTGCGCTACTCAGTGGCCAAAAATGAAAGGAAAAAGTAATCTCCTGGGTTGGGAGGTGGAAAGGCAAGATGAAAAATTCTACCTCACCACTATCCTCCTGAAAGTTTCAATTTACCAAAAGAATTAAAATACATGAAGTAAAAAATTTTATTTTCCCGGTAGCAAAAATTTATAAACTCCAAACAGAGCACAAGCCCTTAAAATTGGTTTGCCCTTTAGAATCTAATTCTTTATGTCTAATGGAAGGGGAGTAGGTAAGGATTTATCGAAACCTTTAACATACTCATTTTCTTTTGCAGAAATGATGTATGCAAGTACAGTGAGGCTTAATCATTATCAATGCTGGGAGCTACTAGTAAGATTTTACCTTTGTCATAACACACCCTGGAGATTTTAAAAACACTTTATTTAATAAAAGTTAAACATACAAAAACTGAAATTAACACATCCTGAAAATCACTGACTTCCATTAACAGGAAGACACTTTTCTATGCATATATTTGGCTTAAACTCAACTCAGGATAAATGTGATGTTCACTTATACCAGCAAATGCTGACAACTTGATCTAGTAAACAAAAATTACAAACTCAGCTACATGAACATAATATACAGGGGATTATGGTCAGATTAATGCACAAGAAATACAGTCAATTTTTAATGATGAAACATTCAGTACTCTTGTTCATTAATTTAGCCGTTTTTTTTTCTTTTTTTTTACAAAAATAGTATCTACACTGTATACAGGGCTATACATCAGCTTTTTGTTTTCTCATATAAACATTTCACATCCAAAAAAATGGTACCACTACCCTATGTGAAAAACCAACACAGGAGGGGGGAAAAATTAGAAAAGGTAGCTGGTGCTAAAACATAGTTTTTTACATAAAACTAAAACTCAATGAAAAGAATAAAAGAGCTGGATACATTTTAGAGATGGTCTAACAGGCTTAGGAAACAAGTTATTAAAGGAAAAACCTGAAAACAGAATTGGACTTTTACAAGTTAACTTATTTTTTAGGTTTAATTGGCCAATAGCCAAGTTTAAGTTGAAGGTAAGAAAAAAAAAAAATCTCTGTAAAGTTTGGTGTTTTGCCTTGATATTCCAGTGAATTGCTTTCAGAATACATGGCAAGTTTTAAGGTACTGAAAGTTCCAGGTTAGGACTTTACAAAATGTATGGGGCCTGATATTAGGAAGATCAACAATTCATCTAAGTGCTTTATTTAAGCAGCATCTATCTAGAAAAGTTGCGTTACCCAACAAACTTTGAGGAAACTGTGGTAGTAGTAATGAACCAAGTTAAATGAATAGCGGTTATCAAATGCAATTTCTTCAAGTTTCATTCTATTGAAGTCAAACAATGACAACAATGGTATCTTCCTTACTCATCTAACAAATAATTTACCTTTAGAAAAATATAAGGATAAAAAGGTAAATGTAAAGCCCTGCAGAGATGAAATTCAACAGTTTTTCTGATTATTGAGGCATCAAATGCCTGACATTGTATTTAGAGGTATCTTGATACTGTGTCATAGGTTTATCAGCAATTCCACAAGTTCCTACTCCAACTTTGCCAGTTACACTCTCAGGTGAAGCAAAAATACTCCTCTTTACCTAGGGGAAATGAAACAGAAACCATTCTTGATTAGTTTTGGAAACAATAAAAATTACAAAATATACTTAGGAGAAAAAGAACCTGAATGCTCTTTTAAATAAAATCTACCAATGATGTCCAGCATAAAGGCATGTTAACAAAGCAAATGTGGTACAACACACCCTCTTGTACGTGGTAAAACAGCAAATAATTTTTCAAATTTTAGTTTACAGAAAGGAAAAAAACTAGATCTTTTGTAATTCCTGATATAAATTCTCATTTATAGTATTTCTATTGTAGAGACAGTGGCTAATGTAGATTCTTTCAATAAGCCAAACTGAAGATTGAAGAGAATTCTGAATTTAAGATCCAGTCATGTATTTTTAAAAATCTGTGTACCTCCTTTTTCATTTTAATGACAGCCGTGCTTTTCAAATTTACAAAATATGATGACAGGATTTACTAACCTGGCCTTTTTTGTTTTTAGAATAGGCCCTGTTGTTGAACTGTTGCCATTTCACTTTCTGGTCCTCTCTCTCCTGCTCAAGTTCTTTTATTCTCTGTGCTTTTTTCAAAGCTTTCTTCTTTTTATATTCACGCTGCTGAGCAATCATTTCTTTTCTGTGTGGATATAACAACTAAATGTCAACTCTTAAGATTTAAAACACGACTTCCTGGGGATATTTAATAATACAAAAAAAAAAGAAGAAGAAAAAAGAACGAAAATGAATAAACTTACATACTCTTCTCCTCATGAATAAAAGCACTAACATCAATGCCAATGACCCAGTGCTACTAATAAATGTTATTTGAAATATATCGCGCATACTTGGAAACTTTCAAACATAACAGTAATCTATTGCCCATTTAAATAAAATATTTCAACTATGACTTTTTAGCTGATGTTTACATAGCTTTTGCCAGTTGTGTTTTAGGAATAAGATGAGTGTCAACAGATGTCTAAACCTTCTATTAATTTCTAAGTGGACAGTTAGCAAGTGTAAAATGCTGCATTTGGAAATAGTGTATGAAGAGATTAGAGGAACATAAATCCCTATTTCATTTAGATTGGAAGAGCACAGGAGCACAAAGGGAAATCAGAGCTAACAATTCTTAACACAAAAGCAACTGGGGTTTTCCAAAAACAGTAAATAAGATTAGAGCCTAAAGCTCCCATAGTAAGTTCTGCTTAGTTAACACTGAGGTCTCACCAAAAAAAAGGATGAAGGAAGAGGTCTTTAAAAAGAGGTAATAAGATCTAGATTCCTTTGTATCATATAATCACCACTATGAAGCCAAGTGTGGCTTTTCATACGTCAAAAATTAAAAATAAGAGATGCTCTATAATCTGATTTTCTTATTGGGTTGCTTAAATCAAATGTAATTTTAATAGATGACAATTTTCTTAAATTCAAATATATTTATGTAGCAACTTAAGTTTTGAAAACTCTTTGACAAATCCAAAAATGTAGATACTATTTCCCTGTTTTACAGACGAGGAAACAGAAGATAGGCAACTTGCTCAAAGTCATACCTTCTAGTATGACTAACTCCTTTTCTTTTCAGATCTCTCAAGTTTAGATGTCATTTTCTCAAAGTAATTTCCCCGAATGCCTAAGTGCAGTTTAGGTACCTGTTCTTTGTTCCCTTCAAGTACCCATTATGTTTCATTCATAAACTCAGTCAGGACAAGGCCCAAGTTGGTTTTCTTCACTGTTGTGGAACTCCAGCATCTGGGTTAGTGATAGTATATATAGTATCCACTTAAAAAATACTTACTAAATGCCTAAGTGGAAACCCAAATGTCCTCACCTTACCCAGGCATACAAATACAGAGAATGAATAACCTTATATTGCTAATCTTCAAAATAATGGTAAGCAGTATTATAACCTTCTTATCCTAAACTAGCCTGCACAGATTCTGCAGACCACCTCAAATACCCAAATGGGGAAGATTACACTTAAAATACTAAATACTAAAAACACACTTACTTGGACATGGGTTTGCTGCCACTGTCCTCCTTTGCCTTCCTTCCTTCTTCTACAGGCTTCAGGTTCAACAGTGGAGTCACTTCAGCATTGCCATAGCCAGCAAAGGTGATTGCAGCAGTGCCGTTTTCTTCATCTATCTCCTCAATCTCCGCTTCATAACACCTGTAAAGATATCATGGCTGTAAGCAGGTGAGTAAAGGTTTAGTACTCAGCCTACAAGACTTACACTGTAGTGATTCAACTATTACATGTTGAAATAAAAGTTCAACTTTAAAAATAAAAGTTCTGTAATCAAATGACCCTTTGGCAAAGATAATGCAAGAGTGGTTGGAGTTAGCCATCTGGTATCCTAAAAGGAAGTCCTAATCAATATTTGCCAGGAAAGTCTCTTACATGTCTACTAACAGTGCTTTAGTCAATCTCTTTGAGAAAAGATATTTCTTATAGGAATAATTTCAGTGTGTGTACTTCATGGACATCTAAGACAGCCAACCATTCACTCAATTTTCAATTTGAGGAAAAAAGAATTTAGATTATTTTTAAAAATATCCATTTTCCTCTGCTTTCAGTTTTCTTTCCTTTGGGATCTTAGCCATTCTTCTGCCCCAAAATTTAATCCAAAACTAAAAACTAAACTGTATTAATAGTAACCACCCAAGAATCAAATTGGCTCTATTAACCACATTGGCTATATAGAAAGATTAAAACAGGGTAGTCGAACTGAATAAAAACATCTTACCATTGTATATTAATATTTCATGTTATAGTTAGTTTTTTTCTACACTTACTGTCCATCTTCACTCCAGATTGCCATACATTTGTCCCCTACTTTCCATGAATGAGTGGGCTGAGCAGAAGCAAAACAGTCTGAACTTGCAAGAGTTTCTGAAGGTTGAGTTGACAGAAGGTCTTTGGTTAGTTCTATAACTTCCTAGAAAGGAAAACCAAAAACCATAACATTATTTTTATAATTCACATTGTCACCTATTTTCAACAAGCAAGTTCTTTCATTTTTTGATGACAACAGCTCTCACCATATAGCACTTACATACTCTACAGTTATTTGTAGTTCATAACAAAAGTATAGTGTATGTACTGTGATTATCCCCATGCATAAACTGAGATACAGTATTTTATACAGTGTGGAGCTGAGATTTAAACCCAGACAGTTGTCTTTCAACTTAATCTCAAAAACTAGTAGAAATAATTGGGTAGACTTGAGCTTATACCATGCATTATTTCTAAGTGTCAATTTTAGCTGACCAGATCTCTGCAAAGATGAGAAATAGTCAATTATGAAGGCCTGAGCTAGATTCAAGGTCACTTATATCATGTCATATATGTATTTCATGACTATTGCTTTACAGGGTATTACAGTACTATTAAATGCCTAGCCAACGTGCCCCATACCCCCAAGCCCCAAAACACTTGAAACAGCCTTGTATCTGTAGTAATAAAAATGTTCCTGCTCATACATATTTCTACTAAAATACTGTAGGTATATATAAAAAGCCATTAGTCTTCCTATTCATTTATTATAAAGCTTACCTCATCCAGGTAAGCAAGTTACCAGGTTAGATTGAAAATATCCCAATACTTAAATGTTACACATATTAGCACTTCTTCATTTAAAAGGAAAAAAAATAAATGTTAACACACACAGGCAAGCAATATCTTTCTGTGTGGCAAATATTTTTTGTAATTCAGGCTTATACTTATTGGCTTCATTTGAAGGTATTTGGGAGGGCTGGTTAAAAAACTCAAGGAATAGTACAAATTGATAGATCAGCTACATTTTTGAAATAGTACAAATTGATAGATCTGTTACCTATCTGCTATAATTTTACTCTAAATTAAACAACCCATATTATGTATCATCTTATCTGACTTAAAAACCTGCATAACTGTTCCCCTACTACTGCATACAAAATACCTTAAAATATCATGTGTTTTTTGGGATAAACATTACCAAGTTAAACTCTGCACTGAGTTTCTTCTGGCTCCCATTGAGGTTTTATAAATAGTACTTCTGGTTCAGTAGCCAAGAAAGTTAAATATTACCTCTCACCTAAGATTCTATATCTTCCTGGCTATTTCTGAAAAACGAGTATTTGAGCCTAAAAATGGGGGGAATGTTAAGCTCTTAGAGGAAGATCAGTTTTGTGAATTAAATTTTGTGAATAAAAAACTAGAAAACTCGGATTTAAATTCAGTAGAGTAGTATCTTTAATGAAGTTTTATCAGGTGCCAAGTAGCCATTCAGATATCATTTAATTAGATGAACTTTTGCATATAAAGCAAATAAAGCAAAGACATTCCAAATAAATATATCATGTACTATACAAAGGAGAGTAAATTATCAGTCCTGTTTTTAATAAACCACTTTAAGGGCTAGGAATGTAATCTAATCTAAGCCTGACTCAAGAGCCCATACAACCTCTATCATTAAATAATTCCATCTAACTAGGGATGATCATTTACCTACTAATGCACAAACATGAATTCTGCATTTGTAGGTTGAAGATTTAGAACTCTACTATTCTTAGGATAGATGCCTATCCTATTTTCATAAGAAAATACATTTTCACCGAAGAAAGGGGTCCTAAAAAGTTATAATCTTCAGAGCCCTGCACTGAAATGACGTTTTAAAAAATCCACAGCATTTATCCCTAGTTGTCCTTTTACTGTGCCATATTTTACATACCTCACCCAACAAACTATGAAGACCCTTCTAAATTTTTTCCTTCACATGTGCATACTGACCAAATTATTAGAGAAACTATTTTATGTATGAGGGGGTTCTTAAAGGTACATACCATTAATTACTTTTCCTCCCCCAAGTCTGAGTTCTGAAACTGCTCCTTCATTGACAGATGGGCAGCAGTTACAGTAATCGGCAATTCCAGGAAGCATCAGATGTTGTGATCTACATATCAGCAGGTCAAAGGGGATGCACTCAAGCACTCTGCTTACTGAAGGAAGGCGTTTCGGGGATGCAGAGAGCCACTGTAATATATGAGACAAGTGACTTGACCCCTGCCTCCTTTAGAACCAGTTTTATTCAGCAAAACAGCTTAATAAATTGACTATTTCTGTGATTATCATAGACTGCCTGGGGAGCTAGTCAGCTAGCTAGCCTGGATTTTACTATACCCACTTTTTTAAGTGAAAAAAGAAAGGCAACTAGAACTTCAGTAGATCAATTTGCTGCGTGCTGAGTAACTTTATTCTATAGGAAAGACAGTATATAAAGAGATAAAAATGGAAGCCTTACTGGCAAAATGGAAGTCATTGATAAAATGCAGAAAGAGTATTTGTCATAAGTGAAAGGGCAAATTCATAACCAGAATAAGACATTCCATAAGAGAAACACAAGAAAACAAAGAAGGCCACAAACTCAATCAGTTTGACCAGACTTTTCAGCAAACATAAAAGGCAGTATTAAACATGTTAAGCGCCCATCCTGTTTTGTCTTCCGGATGGTAAGTATAGTGTCAGTCACCGGTGACTGACTGGGCGCTTAACATGTTAAGTATCAATGACCTGAGGTATATCCCAGAAAGCAGAGAAAGAAAAAAAAAAGAATTTTAAACCCATGCTAAATAGAAGCTGTAACTAGTCAATAGAGACAATTATAGGTAGAAGCAGATATCCAAACACTTACCAGAATTTTATCTAATCTTAAATGGTGCCTTCCACCTTTTAGCAGTTTTTAGTTTACACAGACCTAAATCTAGTGACCAAAATGATTTTTTTCCCTCATGATAGACTAAGAGGAAAAGAAACTGTGATAAGGTTTAATTAGGAAGAACATTCTGTATGGCTACCTGAACTGTTAGAACTTAAGCTTCTAAATCTGTGCCAACCAATAAGGTAGTCATACAGGCTATTTCATTACCTAAAATTAAAGATTCAGATTTTTAGCCATATTTTAAACATTCAATAGCCACATGCGCCTAGTGACTCCAGTATTGCACAGCATATACAGAACATTTTCATCATTTCAGAAAGTTCTATTGTACAGTGCTGTTCTGATGGTTATAGAAGTGATTTTACAGATAAATGAGCCCCCCAGGGCATTTGTGTTCTTACTACAAGGCCTATCAGAACTTCCACTACAGATCATGTCAGTATAAGGCAATTCTGTCCAAGCTCTGACAATTTATTCTAGAAATATTAAAAAGACCTCATAATCATGCTGTTTCAACCTTCACCCCCAACTTCCCCTTGATCAGTTCCACACAGACCCTTTCTCCCACTGCCCAGGAGGCAATATATACAACCTTGCAGACAATGTTTCTTTTTTATTTCTTAAAAAAAAAAAGGACTGCTTTTAAATTGGTGAAAGATGGGACGTGCCAGGATCTTCCCTGGAGGCAAGAAGTTGGTCTGGGAGTGGGAAAGATTGCTCTCCAAACATTTCTTCCTTATTGACTAGCACCCTAAAATCTATTGGCCTGACTTCTACAAATTGAAAAAGGGTCCCGTTTTCTGTGTTTTTAAAAAATAACATACCAGCCAAGTTTTGTTCAGTGATTAGAGTCAACATGGGGGCTGCAGTGTCTCAGGTTCTGTTCCCGGTCAAGGGCACGTACCCAGGTTGCAGGTTCCCCAGCTCCGGTAGGAGCTTGTGCAGGAGGCAACCAATCAATTCATCTCTCTCACATGATGCTTCTCTTTCCTCCCTTCCTTCCACTTTCTCTAGAAATCAATGGAAAAAGATATCCTCAGGTGAAGATTAAAAACAAACAAACAAACAAATACCATCGCAGCAACTTCATTAGAGTTTATCCTAAATCTAGAATTTGAACCTGAAAATATTCAACATCTTAATTATGCCCACATAAGCTCTTTCAGAATCCCGAATCTGGACTTCATGTAAAATAATTTTCATTTGTTTGCAGTTCTAATATTCCTAAAATATTAATAACTTTAAAAGGCAAAAGATGATAGAGGGAAAGAATTACTTAGATAGGACAAAGATGATTCAAGTTTTGTACTGAATCAGTAAAGAAAGAGCATCTAATAACACCTTTTAAAAGTTTCCAAAACATGAGGTTCAAAACTTTAAGTCTCAAATTTGTTAAGATGGAAGTCATATATATTTACAAATCTTTTATGTGGAGTTTTTATCAACCTAGTGTTCTGAGAAATAATAGATATTTACTATTATGACTTCATTTGTCTTGAGACAACCCCTGCCCGGGACAGGATTTTAAAAGCAGGTTTCATACATACTAAACTCTCCCATGACAAACAAAACAAGTTAGTATCCCTTTCACATAGATTCAATTTAACTTCAACAAGTGTCAACAACTACACTGAAAAACCTACCCTTTAAGTTCAAACATGAAGTAACATTTATGCAGAAAACAAGTATCTTTTATGTTTTTATAATGTGCTTTCAATACAAAGTGTTACCTGCTAGCTTTGATACACACACACTCTCTCATTTTCAAAGACTTGTGGCATTAAAAAGTATTTTAATCAGGTTTTATCTTTCTCCTTTAATTTTAGTTACTTTTTGAACTAAACTTCCTTTGCCAGGTCTTTAAATGTAAAAGTACTTTCCACTGTAAAGTTATATATCTCTTCTCTAGTAAATCTGAGACTTCTAAAATCAACTTATTATTATTAAATGAACACACAAGATTTACATAACAAAGGACAATGCTTCACTCGTTTTGATGTATGCAAACTGAGGAAACAACCCTACTTTTACAGCCAAGGATGCCTATGCGAATATACACAAAGGGAAAGGGTAAACACCACCTCCAAGGGGTGCCTTGGACACCTGTAGTTCTAAGCAAGAAATCATTTGAAAAAGACAGAACTACTCTTTTTGAATAATGTAGCGGTAAGTGTCCCCTCATACTTACTTGTAAATCTTTTTTTAATTTTAGCAAATCTTCATTTTCTCCATTTCCAGACAGGGCAGCTTCAACTTGCTGGAGTTGAGCTTTGTAGCTTGCCAGCTGTTTTGCTAGATCCTCTGACATCTGGAGGGGAAAAGGGCAAGGCCATGAAAACTGAACAACAAAAACACACAAACATTGCCCTAGCCCAGCCGTGGGCAAACTACGGCCCGCGGGCCAGATCCGGCCCATTTGAAATGAATAAAACTAAAAAAAAAAAAAAGACCGTACCCTTTTATGTAATGATGTTTACTTTGAATTTATATTAGTTCACACAAACACTCCATCCATGCTTTTGTTCCGGCCCTCCGGTCCAGTTTAAGAACCCATTGTGGACCTCGAGTCAAAAAGTTTGCCCACCCCTGCCCTAGCCAGTTCTGCTCAGTGGGTAGTAGAGCCTCCGTCCACACACTGACGGTTCCGGGTTCGATGGCAGTCAAGGCTGCAGGCCCTGACCCCCAGCACCTGGGGGAGGCAACCAATGGATGTTTCTGTCTCCCCTTTCCTTCCACTCTATCTCTGAAAAAAAAAAAAAAAATCAATAGAAAAATATTCACGGGTAAAGATTAACCAAGAAAAAAAAAAAAAAAGACAGAAAAATATCCTCAGGTGAGGATTAACAACAAAAAAGCCCACAAACATTTAAAAAAAAATTCCTTGTCTGCCTGAATTAACCTTACCAATGTCGCTCCCAACTCATTGCAATTCATTGCAGCTTAGTTTATCACCATCACCTCTACTCTTAGTTTCAGAGAAAAGCTGATGTGGGAACTAGAGAAATTCTAATTTTCTTTAAATTCCTGTAATAAGGAAAGCACTGTGGTCGGTTCATTTAAAAGGATTATTATATCGTCACCGGCCTCCCCCCCTCAAAAGACATTAATCTGTTGGAGTGAAGACTTCTAAAAATATATTTACTACAAGCACTAAAGAATACTTCCAAAGCCAAATAGGAATGGCTTTTGGATTAACTACACAAATAACTGTCTCTACATGAGCTTCTCTATTAATGAGTGTGTTTAGAAGCTCTTCTCCGAGCTAAAGTCTTCCGCCCAGTCACTTCAATAATGCCGGCTTGTTTCCTTCCGGGCAAGGACCAGCACAAACACTCTTATCTGGGCATTCCGGGACGAGCCTTCCCGCAAGTCCTCCTCCTTCTCTGGAAGTAAGGTGCGAGCGCATCCGCTCCCGGTGTACGAGCGCACGCCCGGGGCTTCGGGGCCCTCGGTCTCAGCTCCCGTCAACGACAGGCTGAGATCTGGAAGGGCTCCAAGGGGCGCGGGCATTGCCCCCCCCCACCCCCCCCCCCCCCAAAGCCCGCCACAACGTGGCCGATCATCTCAGACCTCCAAGTAATTCAAACATCAGCTTCCAGGGACGCCGAGCGGACGCCCGCGGGGCCGGGACCCCCACACCCCCAACAGGCTCCGCCGGAAACGGCTCCGGCCGCCCTTCAGAAGCCTCCCGCGTCCCAG